GACACAGTGCCCCTCAAAAAGGATTTAATTAAGGTGATCCTTTCAGCTCATTAATATTCATAGTACTTTTTACCACAAGAGGGCGCACTTAAATAGCGCAAATCTTGCGCATGCGCACAACCGCTCTTCCGTGCCGTTTTCCTCGTCCCATATCTGGCTGCAATTGACATGTACAGTACATGTACATGTACACTCTAGACTGTTCATCATCAAAGTTAGAACGTTCGTGTTAACAAGATAATAATTTCCTTTCCGGAGGCACTGATCCCAACTCGGTGGGGCTGAAGAACAATCGCAATGAATTTCTTTCTCATGCAGGTACTATCACTATCAGTATTCGTGCTCATCCAGTCTGTACCGGTAGCTACGCCTCGTATACGTAGTCCTACATTTTGCCCACAATCCTCCAGCGGTAAGTAAGCTTAAAGGCATGGGGGAAAGACGCATGTGTACACTACATGTACATGTAGGCCCAGGCTAGTTCAGTCGCTGAAAAACTTACTTAATACTTGTGTAATAAGGGCAATCTTAGGCATATTGGGATTCCAAGACAGAGAAGACCTCCAATTTTAGGCATTGCCTTTAGCACCCTGTTCCTTTAACAAGGAAACATTTTGACCTTAGGGAAACATTACTCAATCCCGGCGAAGTTCAGGTAAATTCTGGCCATATTTAATTTTAAGGAAGAAAACTTCAAATTTCTGACCCGAGTTTGGCAAAAGGCAACCACTCAGTCATGCTATTTAGCGTCAACAAGCATCAACACACAAAAGTAGCGTCAACATAAAAAGTGTCAACAACTTTGAAATACCCACTACAGATTTGAAAGGGGTTTTATCATATTTTAGAGACTCTAACTTGCTAACACTTGCCACTGTGTAAGAGAAATTTGCTTCCAGATTCTCGCAGGACAATGCAGGAAAATGAAAATTTTTGATGTATGGGGGCCGCCGTCTTTTTTTTCTCCGCTGTCCACGCAAAACAAGATGGTACAGCCTACAGGCTCAACTGTGTCACTCAAATATCATTTCAGATAGATAAGATACATTGAACTTCATATGTAGGAGCCTAAATTAAAAAAAAAATCTTTGAATAAATATGCATGACTACGATGTACCTTATTGATGCTTGTTGATGCCAAATAGCATGACCCCAACCACTCAGGCGAATCACGCCATTTTGTTTTTGGCTTGTTACCTGACTCGGGCATTTTGGATTCATAAACACAAATCTCTATCCAGGTCAAGGAACCAACCTACATTCGCTAATTTTTTTTGTCATTCACAGCTCTTTGGGGCAATCGTGTACATGATGTATGCTGTCATTTGACCCCAAGATTTCCCTCAAAAGCCACCCCTGTTCTCATTTCTTTCTGATATGAAAGAGGACATCACCAACAACTTGTTTAGATGAGTTGTTTCGAAAAAGTAGAATTTGTTCCCTTATTGTAGGAACAGGTTGCTAAAGGTAGCCCCCAAATTTCCATTAGCAACCACACCCCCATAACTGTGTGTGTGTGGGGGGGGATTGCAGAATACCCCAGCACTCTAAAAAAAAGACCCCTGGATTCATTGGTTACAAGGTGAAAATTCCTTGAGAAGAGGGGGACACTTTGACCTGTACCTGGCTATTAAGTTGATCATGTGGGATGGCGGGGTGTTCTGCAATTGAGCTCTGTAGGGTCCGACATCTGGCCTGCTCCCACTGCTTCATGCTCAGTCACCTGTGACAGTAAATTGGATTTCTTGGCATTATAAGAAAGAGGACATCATCAGTTAATAAATGGCAGTTGCCACTGTCCAAAATATTTAGTCATGTCCAAGAAAAGAAGAAATTACAGTAGTCTTGGTTTCCTGTTTTTTAAAAAAGGCACTGTAAATCAGATCTCAAAATTCGAGTTCACAATTTGAGTATTTGATTTACTTTATCAACTACATGTATTTTGTACAATGAAAAAAGTCAGTCTTCACTGGGAACGAATAATTTTATACTTAAGACAGAGTTTCTTTCATCGCGCTGAATTTGATTTTCCTCAGTTGTTTAACAGAAACCTCAGCTCTTTGCCTTTCACTTTGGTTTCATCTTTTGCCCTGAAGAAGAATTTTGCCAACCACTGCATCTGCCATGTCTGCAGATCTGACAAACACAGATCATAGCTTTCTTGGAGATATTTCCCGTGAAATCTGGGAAAATAAACAACAAATCAATCATTCAGTTTTTGAAACCACATTTGCCATTAAGTAATATTTCAGACTGTTCCAACTTCGATGTAGTGAAGTCTCATATACTGAGCCGGATAAATCGCTGGCAGTTCACTGCTCTACACACCTCGACCATTCTTTCCAAATTTATCCGTTCCTGGTGCAGCATTCACTTTTCTTTGAAATCTGACGACAGAAGCACAATAACCACAACCGGGTTTTGAAAAACTGCGTTTGAAAGTGCACGCAACAAAATTTGCAACGCTCGTTATTTGCCTTCCTGAAAATATGCATGCAGGACGCGTTTTGGATGTCATGTCTTATCCAGTCTTTATAATGGAGATCAATGAGATGCCATGCAAAGCAACGCAAAGTGCATTTGTTTTCACCTTGCACTGACCCGTGGTTACGCAAAGTCACATCTTGGAATACACATACATGTACATGTACTGTAGGTACTAGGCGTAATGCCAGTATTAATAATGTACAGTGTATCATTATCAATCATGAGGGCGCTGTCTCCAACATGTCCAAACAAACTGCTCTCATATCACAGGAGGGTCTTATTCATATCATTTGAGTGATAATAGACGGAAATTATGCAGTTGACGTGGTTGACCTTTAACGTGCTTCACGTTCGCAAATGACGTTTTCAGACTAAAACATCAGCCAGCATGGTTTTTGTCAGACGCACAGAGTGAAGTACACATAAAATGGGGGGGGGGACTATAGTGTACATATATACACCGTCCGATGGAAGGTTCCAAATTCTATAACCTGGGTGAAGCAGCAATGAACTTGCCACAAACAAGCATGGATAACTGATCTACATGTAGATGGAGGAAGGACACAGAAGGAGTTACAACTCTGGCACATCAAAGTGCTCGATGGTCATCGCCGCCCGGTCAGACAAACAATAGTAAACATTCCAAAAATGCCTGATTACTGCCTGCAGCTTAGCCGGACAAGTTGGGGCCAGTAATACTCTTGCAGTATTTGTGCAACTTTCTGCAGTGACAAGGAAATACCGGGTAGAAAAAAAAATATCTAGCATAAGATTTACTTTTGCCATCATGAATATTTTTTCAAAAGATTTTGATGCACTTTTCCATTATCCATGCAATATTTGTAATTTTATTTTGTCACTCTAAAACACTAGTTTTCAAAGTCTCTGTACGAATTTGGCTAAGACTGGCCAACAACATGCTGAACACCACAGGACAGTTAAGATCACAAAAAACAAAATGTGCTGTTTCATCACAGGGAGTGATCATGAAATCTCATACAATACCTTTTTGTGTAAATTCTGTAATAAAAATGATTCAAATAAAACACAATATCTCAAAAACAACTTGGCTATTTATTCCCAAAACAACTTCTGACGAAAGCGTTCGATAAGGGCAGTAACTGCACATGAACACTTACGGCACACAGCCGAATACAACCAACTGTGTAAACATTAAATTTGATGTTGTCAGATCATATCAAGTACCAATGATGGCATGAATATTCAACTTGCTACATGTATAGTGCAGTGTACAATGTTTTAAGGATGCAGATTACCAGCGAAAAAAATTGCAGCAATGATCATTGGGTACGAAAGGGGCTTATGGTTGTGAAACAGGTGGTGCGTAGCGAGCATTCGCTGCGCTCTGGCTTTGGACATACCGGGCATGCCAGAAAGTGGTAATTGGCCAGATGTTGTAGCCCCGGGCAGTTCAAACTCCTTCTGTGTCCTTCCTCCATGCTTTGAATCATTGTCAATAAACCCTTCCCGTTAAAGCTGAGTTAGAGGTTATTCTTTGTTATTTTAGCCTAATTACACAAAGGTTTACTTGAGTATATCCTAGAAGAAGAAAGAAATGCCCTCTAACGTGACGTCATACGCAGGGAAGTCTGTATTTCCCATGTCACATGTACAGTCGTGACATCTCTGCTCACTTAAGCACAACAAATTTGGCCTGTGTCTCCTTATGATTGGAAATTGACATAGATGCCGAATACATGTACGGGCAGTTAATGAAAACTAAGCTGTCAGGATGCATGTACATGCACTGTACCTACATGTACATGTAGTTGTACACCCAGAAGTGTTTCTGGGATATATGTACATGTACCTTAAACATGTTAACCCTAACAGCCCTGAATCCTCCAATTTTGATATGATTTTGCACACACCCTAGGCAGTTAGGGTTGAAGACATGTTGCAACCACCTAAGCATGGTAGTTAGATGACTTTTAACATCCTTCACATAACTTGATGACTTTTCCCGTTCAGTGTTGCCTACAGTGCATAACTACACATACATTCTATATGCACATGTACAATGTCTATAGATGGTACAAATCTCCAAATTTGCATGTACGGGTACCAATGTAATGACATTCACTGCACATACATGAATATATCAAAGTGTTAAGCAATATCATGATGTACATAATTTTCAGGGTAGATACATTAATTTTTATCCAACATGAACGATACATGTACATGTGTTTGTCCCGGTGTTTGAACATGTGATGAAATGGGGGATCGGAACGGTGACAGTGAAAAGTCTGGATGCAAAAGAGAACCATTTTCAGCCATGTTTGTGATATACATGTAGGGGTGAATAACATGGACGCATGTATGTTGTAAGAAAGCATGAATTCATGTTTCAGTCCCAAATGTAATTTTGAGACCAAAAGGTTTGAAGCTTCCCGTGGTCAGGTCTAGCCTCAAGTATGAAATTTTCAAACGTAAAAGAACAGTATTTTCCTACATATACAGTGTATAACTGGTCGCTAATTTTCATTTCTTCCACAAGCACAAAATCCAAAGCCGTCTGACCCAGGGGTACATGACGGAGTTAATGCACCTAGTCGAAGCAAAACAAAAGCCTATCATCATGGTCATGTACATGTACATGTAACTTGACACTCAATATACATGCACTGTAGATATGATAAAAGTGCAGTGTACATTATGTACATGTACCGGGAGGTACCAAATCGACCTGGTGCCTAACTTTTTTCTCTGAGCCAATGGATCCTCATTCTGTTTTTCTCTCTGCGGCACTGTGTACACGTACATGTACAAAAATCTACATGTACATGTTGGATTCAGTTTCAGTGAGACCTGCATGTAACGGTACAAGTACCCGCAGGTATATTTCACCACATCTGTAAACACATTGATATTGTGCTGTATGGCACATATACATGTAGGCCTGCATACATGTAGACTGTACATGTACTGCCATATGAACTAGTCCGTGTTCGATTTGACTGAATTCAGTTTGTTTTATTTGCATTTTGCTTTCAGGCAATGTTACACTGGATGTATTCGGCATGGTAAACAAGACTGCCTACGCACAGCTTGGGGTGTGGCACCGGTTGCCCTGCCCGTCTTATCAACAAGGAGAAAACGTCAGTGGGGCGTCATGGTACAAAGAGCCTGGAAGACAGCATCTGCTTACATATCATTCTAAGGAAGGGACGTTTTTGCCGGAACATGAGAGATATGGCCCTTCATTCGACTTCGGCCTTGCCATTAAAGGCATTGAGGAAGGAGATGCTGGCAGATATCAGTGTGAAGTCCTATTTGGACAAATAGATGAAAGTTTGAAGACAGTCGAGGAAATCAACATAAAAGTTATTGGTGAGCCCTGTTTTTCACAAATCCAAATGGTATAATCATAGAAATTTAAAAGGTAATGCACCTGTAAAAGTTCATCCCCTTTTGTGAATGTACATGTACATGTAGGCCTGCAGTGTGTGATGCGAGGGAGAGCTACTGCATACACCTGGATATGTATGGCACATGGATTTTTACATGTAATGCAGCGGTACACGACAGAGGCGCAGAGTGCAAAGGCCAGGGCGTTTAGTAACACAGGGTCAATGTACATGTACGCTATTGGAGTTGGAATTACTCTAGCTACTGGCATCAGACTTGCCCTCTAGTAGATCCTCACTAAAGTACATGTGTTTGTTTATGCATACAATTGTTGATGCAGTGGTACAGCACATGTACATGTACCTGTACATTTCGAATCACCACATCTTTGTATTTTATTTGTCTTTAACCTCTCCTGTTCAGGTGATTCGTTTCAACCCAGCATCAGTCACAAGTCATCCATGGCCATACATGAACGTGAGCAAAGACGGACAGTTATTACCTGTCCCTATAACCCTCAGACGCCAAACACATTTGTTGTGTATTGGTCTTTGGAAAACGTCGCCACTATGCACAATGAGATTATTGGGGCAAAATTCTTCAATGGGACGGTAGCACAGAACCAGTTTTGCACCGATTACAGCATTGGTAGCAATGGTTCACTTACTGTGAACACCTGGAACAGTATTGGAGAAAACCAAGTAACGTTCTGGTGCCATGTGTTCAAGAGAGATGGAACGCCCAGCAGTTGTTCCATTAAAGTTTATCTGCGGCAAGGTAATTTTCAGAGTTGTAATGGAGTGCTTTCAATTACATGTACCAAGTTCTCTGCCAAATATTGAACTACATGTAGTTAGGAAGGAACAAAGCTGAAATTTGTGTACATGTACGGTACATGTACATGGGCATTTGATGGTACATGTACGTACATTTAAGTATGCAGAAACGTAAGGCAACAAAGTAAAATGATGACTTCAGACTATCTCTGTTTAGGACAAAACAACTGGAAAAACACTGAGCCGAGCACTTTCTGAATACCTTTCTCTTTAAAACTTAATTTTTACAAAGCTGGGACCGTCTGAGGTGTGACATTTTGTATGTAATGTTAGGCCTGCAGTGTGTAGTACATGTACCTCTGTCCATTTACCATCACATTCCTGTGCTCTCCAGCTTTACTCCCTCTTTCCCAGCTCTGTATCTGGCAGAGAACCTTGGTACTTGACTACAACATTGGTATTTTTAGTACCAATGTTTGTTTGTTTGCACATTCAGCTTCAAAACAGGTTAGCTTTGCAAATATTACTTTTTTGGCATCTGTAGTGGGTTTTGTGTCAGTAAGATTCACTCCATATAATACATGTACATGTGTGTACCCGCAGTGCAAATGTGTGCCAGGAAAATCTTTTGAAAACAAGAAGTTTTAAAAAACCTCTCACCATTTTTACTGAGATGTGAAATGCCCTTGATCAGTGCAGATGCATAGTATCAATAGTGATCAAGGCTGTAATTTCATGAACATTTCAGAATTAATCTTTGACCAATGGTTATGATTACTGAGCAATAAATTGTCCAACAAGAGCTTGGCACATGAGTACTTGGTTATCTGCCTTGAGCAGAAGAGATCCCTCATCGGTTGGAAAGAGCCACGTTGATGGGGTGAGAGTCCATTTTTTGTTTATAGCTCTGTAACCGCATGACATGCATTTCATGGTTGTTCGTAAACCAGTGAAGTCCAGTTCCCACTATAAATGGAGCCTCCTTTGCTAGGAAAATTGTGTCCTCTCTTGGTTGCGTTTGGGGCTCATTTTACACGTACACGTACTTACATTTGTCAGTCATGGAGCCCATTGTGCACACGTACAATGTACATGCACATCGTATTCATGTTTGTAGCAATGAAGAAATGCACACGTTTTGCATTCTACATGTACCGGTATATTGTGGTGGTTGTTTCCCTTAGCCTAACCTAAGTTTGAGGATCAAATCTGAAACCAGTTGGGTTCTTGACTCTAGCCTAAACTCGCATTCCTCCCTGGTCCAGATAGAGATCACTCTTGCTGCTTTATTAGTAATGTTAACATTTTTTATCTGTTTATTTTCTTTTGTGCATCTCAACACTGCTCTGTGGACCACAGAGTCACTACTCTATCTTCAGAAGGAGTCCAAGGAAGTCCATCCGTGCTCAAGTTTGAACCCTGGTAACACAAATTCATGAAATAAAATTCTCTAAGGTCTACACATTAAGGACACCGATCTCATTGCAACAGTTGGCCCTATTCCTGTAAAATGAAGAATGTGCACACGTGCCAAATGAAAGCCTTGCTAACTTTGGCGTGATTGAATTTGCTTTGAAACTAGATCTTAAACAGCTATCCTCTGGTAGGGTGTGATTTAAAAGTAAAGTTGATCCGTGGATAGTTACATTATTATTTGGTTTAGAAATAGGAATAGGGCTGTGCCCAATGGCTGAATATTCAATCCACTGTCGACTATTCGAATAGTATTGCCAAATTTGAATATTCAAATGCAACATTAATGAAATGGAATGGAGAAGTTTCTGTTGTTTTAAATGTGAAAACTTGCACTACGAAGGCGTGTTTAAAGCAGATTCCAATGAAAGTGACAGAAATGTTACAATGATTCACACAGTAAATTATTCATTACAAGATTTAAAAGAACAGGAAATTTCCAACAGGGAAAGAAGAATTGTTCATCTCTTAAATGTTCCTAAATCATACCGGTACTCCTAGACCAGGGTTGATAAAAATCATGATTTTTAAAAATAAAACATTCAGATTTTCAAAAATTTATTTTAAAAGAATTATTTTAAAAATCTATCTTTGTATAAGTCTTTGGCTTTTTGCTGGGGTAAAGTTTATCATACATGTACATGTATGTTGAACTGCTTCATTCTAATGAAACACAAAAGTCCAGCTACCTGCATGCTGACATATACACCCCGGTACGCACAAACTCCTACATGTAGTGTGAATAGAAATTCAATGAAATAAATTGATTAAAGATCAGTGTCTTTGTTCTTCAATACAGGCAGTTAACAATAGTGCACCTCCTAGATTTTGCAACGCGTTGCCCAATCGCAATGCTTGAAATCTTGTGAACCACGGTGTGGTTGGCCACTGCGTTGCAAACTTTTGGAGGCATACTATTTTGAATCACCCGTACTGGGATAAAATACTCTTGGACATGTACATACATGTACAAGTTTGCTAACGCATAACATGCCTTATGAGAGACTTTATTGAATAAGTACAGGAACCTGTACATCTTTTGTGTTCCAATTTTGATGATATTTGGCAATGCTACTTTCCATGATATTCGGCAATGCTGCTTTCCATGATATTCGGCAATGCTGCCCTCCATGATATTTAGCAATGCTACTTTCCATGATATTCGGCAATGCTGCCCTCCATGATATTCAGCAATACTGCTTTCCATGATATTTGCCAATGCTGCCCTCCATGATATTCAGCAATACTGCTTTCCATGATATTTGCCAATGCTGCCTTCCATGATATTCAGCAATGCTGCTTTCCATGATATTCAGCAATACTGCTTTCCATGATATTATGCAATGCTGCCCTCCATTATATTCGGCAATACTGCTTTCCATGATATTTGCCAATGCTGCCCTCCATGATATTCGGCAATACTGCCTTCCATGATATTCAGCAATGCTGCCCTCCATGATATTTGCCAATGCTGCTTTCCATGATATTCAGCAATACTGCTTTCCATGATATTTGCCAATGCTGCCTTCCATGATATTCAGCAATACTGCTTTCCATGATATTTGCCAATGCTGCCTTCCATGATATTCAGCAATGCTGCCCTCCATGATATTTGCTAATACTGCTTTCCATGATATTTGCCAATGCTGCTTTCCATGATATTCGGCAATGCTGCCCTCCATGATATTTGCCAATGCTGCTTTCCATGATATTCAGCAATGCTGCCCTCCATGATATTTGCCAATGCTGCCCTCCATGATATTCAGCAATGCTGCCCTCCATGATATTTGCCAATGCTGCTTTCCATGATATTCAGCAATGCTGCCCTCCATGATATTCAGCAATACTGCTTTCCATGATATTTGGCAATGCTGCCCTCCATTATATTCGGCAATACTGCTTTCCATGATATTTGCCCATGCTGCCCTCCATGATATTCAGCAATACTGCTTTCCATGATATTTGCCAATGCTGCTTTCCATGATTTTCGGCAATGCTGCCCTCCATGATATTTGCTAATGCTGCTTTCCATGATATTCAGCAATACTGCTTTCCATGATATTTGCCCATGCTGCCCTCCATGATATTCAGCAATATTGCTTTCCGTGATATTTGCCAATGCTGCTTTGTCGAAATTCATGTAAAATGGAATGGCTATTGAATTCTATCCACGTAGCGGTACATACATGTACATGGGTGATTCTATAGATTAGGGGTCCAACTTGGGGACATTTTGGTGTCCTGTTACACTCACATGTGAAGCCATTCAACTTTTCTTCATGTGAAATTGTAACCACATGATCAAACATTGTGCAGATTGAACTGTATATTGTACAGGTCATAAACAATGTAATCCTGTTTGATCTACAGAATGTGACCAGTTCCAATCTTAGTTCCATCCAGAAGAGCTGAATGGTTTCACCCGTTACAGGACACCAAAATGTCCCCAAGTTGGACCTCTAATTTATAGAATCACCCACATGTACGTGTGCATGCAAATGCCTGCAGTCATACAAAATGAAGTGAGGTATACATACCGTACTGTACTGGTACATATGTTCACATGTACTGTACATGTAGAAGTTGAATGAGTGTAAAGAGAAGCATTATAAGATGACCCTATGCTAGTTGTGTGGAAATGTTTTAAAGGCATCAGTATGTTAAATTCAGCCGTTTCTTTCTTTCAAATACCCAAAAGGATAAAGGCTTCTTTAGCAAGATGTTTTTAAAATGATTTTTTAAAAGTGATTTTAAATTGTGATTTGAATTAAATCAATCAAACAAGCTTGTTTTAGACGTGAGAAGCTACTGGTATTATAGTGATTATAATGTACAATCATGTGCATTATTGCAACAGATTTTGCATACGGGTTGTTCCTCAACAGTCTGTCGGTTGGTGAAACCAAATGATAAGTGGATATTTGATTGAATTGAAGAACAGATATTCGAATAGTGAACAATTCAAATGACTCAGCCATGTCAGCCCTATCATGAATGGGATCACTAATCATTATACAAATAATGAACGTTCATAAGTGCAATAATAAGAATATTTTCTCGAGTTGAAAAATGGAATTTTCTTTCAACAAGGCAGAGTCGAGTTGAATGGAAGATTGATTTTTTAATGAATGAAGATATCATTGCACAAGTGAGAAAACATCCACTATCTATGTGATATAAATGTTATATCATGTAGATCCTTGTCATTTTATTTATCTTGAAATAAATTTCAAACAATTTCAAATCCCGATAATTTTTTGTACCAAATTTTAGTGTCCCCCGGTTTCGATCAGCTGCGTGTTGTGTTCTTGCTGCTTTTCGAGGGATGAGGCCTTTCATATGTCGTGGAAATGAGGACGATCCTAACCGGCATTGTATATATTTTTACCATCCGCACATGGGCGAATAGTACATGTACATGACACAACATGAATGGCAGGAGTAATGAATGTCACATGATGCGTGTTCCACCAATCAAATGACAAGGATCTGTATGGCAGTTATATAAAGAGGGTTATTTCACACAAGTTGATGCAGGTGTTTGAGAAAATAGTACTCTGTAAGATGCCCGGGTGTGGAATGCTTTTCATTTAAAGAATTAGCATCCTTTTAACACGTTTTTTATTTCATGGGTAGAGGGCTACATGCACCAGTGAAGCAGTGATCACTGTTTTATCAATATTGGTTCTACTGTCACAATTGCCATGTCAAAATGTGCCAAATAGAGAGATGGTGGTTCAATTCCACTTAATTAAATGTAATTAAAGTTGGAGTCTCAGAATTAAATGAAGGCCCTTCCCCCCAAAAAAGTGGACACTTTCTTTTCGTGATGTGCATACATGCACATGTACTGTACCGTATATGTACGTTGTATGTTTTGGTTTCATTATCCAAGTCAATGACATTTAAAAATGGAACGTTGCCTCATGGCAACCGTGATATTGGCTCAAGGAGATTATGAGGGAAAGTCACTGAACCGTGCGTATTAAATTGGTCTGCTCATTAATACACGGTTGTGTTGTTTTCAATTTGGTTGTAGGCAGTGTTGCTCAAGATGTATTTGGCATAGTAAACAAGACTGCCTACGCACAGCTTGGGGTGTGGCACCGATTGCCCTGCCCATCTTATCAACAAGGAGAAAACGTCACTGGGGTGTCATGGTACAAAAAGCCTCGAAGACAGGATCTGATTTCAATTCATCCTGCGGAAAGGAAGTTTTTGTCGAATGATGAGAGATATGGCCGTTCATCCGACTTCAGCCTTGTCATTAAAGGCATTGAGGAAAGAGATGCTGGCAGATATCAGTGTGAAGTCCTGTTTGGACCTGTAGGTATCAGTTTGAAGATAGTCGAGGAAATCAACATAAAAGTTATTGGTAAGACCTGGCAAATGCATGTACATGTACATGTACATGCATTTGCTGAAGATTAACATGAACACAAGATTAGCATGAACACAAGATTAGCATGAACACAAGATTAGCATGAACACAAGATTAGCATGAACACAAGATTAGCATGAACACAAGATTAGCATGAACACAAGATTAACATGAACACAAGATTAGCATGAACACATAGACAGGTGCATGTATGCGTATTGTAAGTCTTCAAATGTAGAGGAATAACTGATTTCTTCAAACTCGCATAAATTAGAAATGTAATGTTAAAGGTTCTGATCTTGTACAGAACTTGTGTGCTCTGATGCAGAGATATGATTGGCTCCAGGGAGAACCGAGTGCACATTTGCACCGTTAATTCTCTGAAAGTCCTAAAAGCATAGTAAAACTAAGAAGCAGTGATTACATGTAGAAATTGTAAAGCCTTTGCAAAAGCAGAGGCAAATTGGAGCAGAGCACATCCAGCAAGGAGATTTCTAATGCAAAATGGGACCTGTTTGAGAAACAAATTCAGGATGGCCAAATACATGTACATTTAGATCAGATCATCTGTGGGAGGAAAATGACTAGAAATTTAGTCACTTCACATGCTCATAATATTGCTTTCTTTCCTGTATTCAGTGATACAAGATACTTGGTACGTGTATCCTGCCACCATTTCTATTTGTGCACCAATATACCAAACTTGTCACCCCTTGTCTGACTTTATGGTCAATACTTAACCCTAACACTCCTCAGTCCTCCAACAGGTGAAGGATTGAGGAGTGTTAGGGATAATGCATGTACATGTACACATAATGTACATATACATTTACGTACGAAAAAGTTGTAGAAGTGGAACAATCCGATTTTGTTTCATTAACCTCTCATGTTCAGGTGATTCGTTTCAACCCAACATCAGTGACAACTCATCGAATGTCACATTGCAGCGTGGGCAAAGACAGAAAGTTACCTGTCCCTGTGACCCACAGACACTAAACACATCTGTCGTGTATTGGTCTTTGGGTAAAGGCGTCACTACACCTACTCAAATCATTGGTGCACGATTCTTCGATGGGACAGTAGTACAGATGCAGTTTGGCGCCGATTACAGCATTGGTAGCAATGGTTCACTTACAATCAACTCCTGGAGCAGTATAGAAGAAGACCAAGTAACATTCTGGTGTCATGTGTTTAAGAGAGATGGGACACTCAGTAGTTGCAGCACTGAAGCCCACATACTGCAAGGTAAAGTTTGAGAACAGAATTTATTGTTTGTGTTACCGGCAATAACATGTATGCATTTGTAGCTATAACCGGCAAATTTGAAATTTTTCTTTCGAGGTTTTCAACCTTGTGAATATCTTTTGAAAATTCATTCTGCGTTCACGCGCTTGTTTACAAAAGACAACTGCACTGAATGCATCAAGTGAATGTGCTTGCCAGACAGAACTCTGAGAAAAAAAAAAAAATTATGACAGTGGCTCATGCCAGATGATGAAATTAATAAACCAATGCCCATATTTTCCGAATTGGAGACAGAAAAATTTCGATGGACTGGCACCCAAGAAGGCATTCTAGACTTATGTTTACTTGATTGTGCCGTTGTCTTCCGCACAGGTGACCCCATCCCCATTTTTGTCCTAGGTGTTGGCACTCGCATCTACTTTTCAGCAACCTCGGGTCCACATTTACATGTATGCATTTGTACATTTACTATTCAAAAAAAGAAAAAAGGAGAAAGAGCAAAGAAGCAGAGGGGACATCTCAAATTTCTACTTTTAAACATTCATGTACAGGGTGTCCACATAAAAAGTATACCGAGATAAAAATTACTGTAATAGCAAAAACTACTTTATATGTGGGAAAGAGAAATATATCTCTAGAAAGGGCAGAATGCCCTCTTTGCAATGGTATGCAGCTTGTGATGTTATTGACACAGACGAGTGAACAAACTAGACCGGTGTTAAGGGCACTGAAATCGGTACTGTGACAAGTTTGCGTATGTGATTAACAAGGCTAGACCATGCAAGTGTGCAGAATAGCAAATGCCGTTGCTTTAAGAACGCATTCTTGAAAACAAGGAATGAACCTAAATTTTGTGCTTGTTGCTAAGCCCCCTCCATAGTACACAACCTAAAAAGACAGGCATTGGAGTAAAAATGGCACATTTTACATGGATCTTTATGTTCGAAAGAAAGATACATCCAATTAAAAAATGTGACACCCTGATCTGAGTAAGTTCTTTGGTATGGCCCATGAGTAGTATTACTAAGGATCCTGTTGATAACACTCTTGACTCGCTATGCCTGTTAAAGTGATACATTTATCTTGTATTTACTGTTGCCATTTTCAAGACTGTTATGTGGTGGCACAGTTGAAAAGATTAAAGGCGCCAGACCTTTACTGTGGTTTACTTGGCTGATTGAATCGTAGGAAGTTTACCCATACATGAGACTAGATTTTCCCCTTGCTGTTTAGTTCTTCCTGGAAGTTCCTGCTATCCACCGGAACTAAATTTTGATGGCTAAGACGAAAGAACACACAGGAAAACCTCTGCCTTGTGGACCAGTCGCAGTAGCTTTACATAGTTAGGAAAGGTTTTATTATCTTGGCTTGCTCAGTTGAGATCCAAACACCAATTTTTCAACTGAATTGTCAATTATTGACATGGATGTAGGTGCGTGTACTTGGTGTTAATTGTTTACAGGTGGATCACCGATATTACAAGGTCCTATGACTTTACAAATTACCTTTATATAGAAGGTATCTTGTATATTCAGTAACGAGGAACAGAAAAAACAAAGACTTCAGGCTTAAAATAGTCCTTGTTATAAAATGACATTGTGTTACATGTAGCAGTGCTCTGTTACTAGAGTTTAATTGTAATTTCTATTTGTCATTTATACAGATCAGCCTCTAAACTTAGCTCTGAACGCTTCATCAGCATTGTATCTTCGGGAAGGATTCAAGCAAATTCTCCCTTGTACAAATTGGAGGCCTGGTGTTCCAGTGTGTGGAATTCAATGGTATTTACTGAGTAATTCACTCAATTCAACTGTCGTTAAGTACAACCTGTCATCCGATTTTCTCCAAATTGATGCGGCATACATGTATGATCTTGCCAGTAACTTTTCTCTTGTCATCAAAGCCGTGGAGAGTACGCATGCTGGACGATTCACCTGTGTTCCTGATTGTGCTAGAAGTAAACCTGTGGAATACATGTATCTTGATACAAATGTAATTGGTAAGTTAGGCAGTATTATAGAAAAGGTACATGTGCTTTTTAGGCCAAACTTTATACCCAATTGCATGTTGTGTACACATATAACAATATCACGTCTCACATCTCGGTACAATTCACCTCTGTCTGTCACCTCTGTCATCCATCCCCCAGCTTTTCCTTGCAAATTTCTTGTTGACATGGTGAGGGTGAACTTACATAATGGGCAGCGGCGCTAGTGTTGGTGCATGAGATATACATGCACATGTAAATGTGTTCACTGTGAAATGTCACTTGTTCATAATCATTGCTAACATCTCCTTCACTCAACGTGCACTTTTGGGTTTAGTTTCAGCTTACTCTAGCTTTAAACAGTGTTACTGTGGACAGGAATTTTTAGCAACTTTTTAATGTAATCTTTAATGGCCATTGTTAGGGTTGAGGCTGTGTTTTGAAAGGAAGGGAAAGGAAACATTTAGACCCAAAAAATGACGAATCTGTCGTGACTTTTCAAACAAAACATTTAATTTTGATCCCTTAAAATTGAATTTGCTTCCTTTTGAGCTGTTTTTTTTTGGGATGGGGGCTTGATCCTGCCTGTGCCATGGCAAGCAGGAGGTCATGGCATCGAGCCCCATTGCAGCAAGTCTATGGTGTTTTCCTCAAGTTTTTAAAGTTTGCAGGAATTGCTAATGAACACGCCCGTGAAGGGCAAAACGCTCAGTTTAAAATCAGCAACTCCTCAAAGCAAACAAATAGACCCCTTACTGGTACGAGATTGTCTTCAACATTGACTATGCTATTTCAGGTGACTTGTTCCCGGCATGCCGGAATTATACTGCATCCTCAGTTGAAGTGACAAACGGACAACAAATTGTACTGCCCTGTGAATGTGCACAGCAGACGAGGAATGCATCCGTAACTGCATTGTTCTGGTCGATGGGGGAGGGAGTAACTACTGGTACATCCGTGAACTGTGCTCCTTTGGAAAATGGTTCCATGATTTGTTCTGATGGCTACTCTGTTTCTAGCAACTGGTCACTGACGGTCAGCCGCCTGAATGATTCTGGAAGATTTTGGTGTCATGTGTTCTGGACAAATGACACACTTTCCAATTGTTACACAGATGTTAAATTTATAGATACATCTGCAGGTAAGTTTTTTTAATTTTGTCACATTCAGGTACATGTAGTTGGCTAAAAGGCAGGCCTTTGCTGGTGAAAAGTGTTTCTGATATGCATTCTGTATTGTATATTTGCAAAGGTTACTCCTTCGTTCATTTTACATACATGTACATGTTATGCCCCAATGCTATACATGTACATGCACACAATATACATGTATGCAGGTGCATTGTGATCAATGCGGGACACTTCTGGGAATCCAGTGATACTTTTGTACGATTAAATTAATTAATTAAAACCATTAATTCAATCCGAGGCAGTTCTTCCCCATATTCCAACAGCGATTCTGATTTCAGCCTTAGTGTTTACATGTAAGTGTTTCCAGGCGAATGTTGGAACCAAGTAGAGTTTATGGAAACCCCAGTCTCATACTGGAGATTTCCGGAGCAGAAAACTAATTTTGTCCAGCTTTTTTGTAATTAAGGCTGAAGCCTGGAGACTAATGCAGTGATAGGAATTCAATGTTGATATACAATGGCTGTTTTTTATACGACAGGTCCATGTACCAGTGCAGCGATCATCGTGATAATTGTGGTCCTAGGTTTAGTTGCAAGTGGCTATTTCATGTGGAATCGAAGACGCTCACGGAGGGCTCGGGATGGACGCTCTGAGATAATAGGTAGAAAATTCTTGTCTTCCTTTAGCAGGAAACTTTAGTCAACTTTTTTTCTGCAAGAAGTCGATCAGAAACCATGTTGATGCATCATATGCCCCTTATTTGAGGGTTGATTCTTCTGTCTGCCTGAATCCATCTGAGCATTTAGGGATTTATCGGTACATGCATGCACATGGCACTGGAAGTCAAGTGTTTTGAACCATCGTGTGCCATTGTGCAGCCCTATGTTAAAATGATGTCTCTCACTTTGAGGGCATTTTGAGAAAAAGTGACAGAAAGATTGGACCTTTGGCCGTTTTGCTTTGTAGGTTTTGAAGACTGAACCTGTTGTTTTTATGTCCTGATGATCACAAATTTGATTTTTGGTATCAATTGTCAGTTTTTAAAAAATAATTATTAAATATGTGATTTTTTGGAAGATTTACAAACAGATGCATGCCAAACATGCATTTTTTTTCTGGCAAATATCTCACTAGTTAATTTTTTCACGTTGAGATACGGTACATACATATCTTTAAATCGTTTCATTGCCCGGCTATGATAGTTTCAAAATCAGAAAAAGTGCCCTCACATTACCGGGATATCATTCTACTTTTCAAATTTATGAAAATCTCGAGTTACATGTATATCATTGTAACAAGATGGGGTTGAGTGTGTACTTCATTTCAACAGATATGAATGTTTTTTGATCAGAGAAAAACATGTTTGTGTTTAAATCACCATCAAATACCCCTCAAGTGGTGTTGCATTTGCATTCCCTTGCCTCAAGTTTTAAACCCGAATTTTGAAAGTCAGCTATAAAGATGCAAACCAACCTATTTGGTTACTTGGCACAGCACCAAAGTGCCCTGCTGCATAATGTGTATACCCCATTTTCAATTTTATATGTTCTGTATATACTTTATATGTTCTCTGTCATTGTACTTTTTTCTCTTGTTGTTATAATTAAAAATAATAATATAATAATAATTTTGAAAATGTTTTTAAAATGTATGAACTCATCGTCTTAATGAAGACCGTAATCAAGTTTTGAGACAAAAAGGCCAAACTGTACTGAAAAATTTTACATTTACAGTATTGTCAAGTTATTGATACATTAATTTGTTGTGTGGCAATCTTTTTTGTGTTTGTGATTTTTTGCAGAAGAGGAAAATGTATCACTTAAAAAAATCAAGATAATTCTTACCAGGAGTGATGCTGAGGACCTGATGGTACAAAACCTATACACGCCCCCAGAATTGTTCCTCAACTTTTGTGCTGCAGATGGTGTGTTGAGAGATAAGTTAACATCAGAAGCTGAGATATTTGAAGGCTATATTCGCACTCAAAGTGGAAGGGGTGTCGTCATTCAAGGTAAATCGGGTAGTGGTAAGAGTGTGCTCCTAGAAAAGCTGAAATATGATTGGAAAAAGAAGCAAGAGCTATCTGTAGAACATATCCAGGCATCAGATATCAGACTTCAAGAGTACCGCAAAGCTCCTTCCTCTTCGGTAAGTGTACATGTAGTTCTTGTTGATGACTGTAGTGACGAAAAGGATTTTGACAGTGTCATGGAAACCTTCAAAGACGAAGGCCCTCAGTCGTGTCGAGTAGTGATGACCACTAGAAGTGCAACGCTTGCGCAGAAGATGAGCCAAAAATATGATCTAGGTTATGTCCAAATAACTGGGTTTAGTGCTGACAATGCGCGCAAATACAGCCAATCAGAACTTGAAAAATTCCCAAACACTAAAAACATAGGTGACAATGCGCACAAATACAACCCATCAGAACTTGAAAAATTCCCAAACACTAAAAACATAGGTGACAATGCGCGCAAATACAGCCCATCTGAACTTGAAAAATTCCCAAACACTAAAAACATAGGTGACAGAGACAATGTTGTAAGCTATTTAGATGATGGGATTTTGTTTGCAGGTGTGGATTGTCTTCCAGGCTTTTTGAGGGCTCTGCATCAGTATCTTGTTGTAAAAGAGAAACACGGTTTCCATTTTCAAAGAACATTTCGGAGTCTGATAACTGGAATGTTTGCATGGATGTTTGACAGACTTGATACTGATCACACTTTGGCCAGGTCTAAATGTCACCCTTTACTGGACACCCTTACGGACAACCAAAATGATTTTCTGGCCACCTGCGGTAGTGTTGTTCTGTCTCGAATTTTTGATGGTTGTGAAATTCCACATGAGATGTTAAAAAGTGATTTCATAGCGTCTGTTGAAAACGGAGAGGATGTATTGCATAACGGGAAACGTGTGGGGCTTCTCTGTGAACAAGGATCACAATGGGAAAATGGTGATGAAAAAGCTCCTCTGATCTCCTCTGATTACGCCAAGGTCAAGTTTGCTCTTGGAATATTTTCAGAGTTTTGTGCTGGTAAACACATGGCTCGAGATATCAGAAAGTCGATTGAACGGATTATCCAAGAAAATTCAGAAGATATTGAAAAGCTTTCAAACGTGTTTGTCTTTGCTGGTTCAGAGAGTTATGATGTGGCTTGCAGAATTGTGGAATGCTTGAAAAATATCATTGATCAGAAAGGTCTGTGGAGAAAGGGTAGTCTGAAAGATGTGATTCATCTTCAAAAGTTGACAGAATTGTGTCTTGAATTGAATTTTGAAGGAATGTTTGGGGGGGAGTTAAACAATAAACTTCAAGCGATCTTGCATGGAGAAAAGCTTGCGTTAATTGGAATATCAAGTCGCAAGTTAAGACTGTTGGCCTACTGCATCAAGCACATGCAGCCTCGCTGGCTCAAGTCAATCGAACTGTTTTGTGTTGAGAAACCGAATTGGTACGAGTTCAAGGATTGTGTGAAATGCTTGTATCCTTCAGTAATCTTCGTGGAAGACTCTGAAGTGGAAGATGACACATCGAACTCGGAATCACGAGAGGTCACAGAGCATAAGCAGCTGGAGTCACGAGAACGGTATTTGCCTAAGTTTCCTTCTGATAAGTCGGACAACAGTGTCCCTCGTACTGTGCAGTGCACGGTCATTCAGCAACTCTTTGAGTCACAGTCAGGTGAATGTCATTCATCGAGTGCAGCAACAGAGTTGATTGATTGCCTGTCTCATCAGCTAGATATCAATGCAGTTGTTCTTTTGGGACCAGTTATTGGATCCCAACAGATCCGTGTACTTGCAAGACACCTTCCTAAATTCGAATTTTTGCAGAAAATAGATCTTCGCCTAAATACGGAAATGGATGACGAAGCGTTCAAGAGCATAATGATACAGCTTTTTGCTTCAAGTTGCCCAGCCTTGGTTGACCTCAGGCTGTCTTTGTACAGAGTCACTGGGGAAGGGTTTCAAGACATGCAAGAGGCGGTGAGAGATGCTGTGCCATTAAGACGGTTAAGAACGCTCTATCTTCTTCACGTTAGTGTTGTTGAGCCTTTCTGCAATTTTCTCAGAGAAACCCTGCAATACATGGACAGTCTGCAGTGTGTCCATGTATCTGCCCTGGCTGAAGAAGAGAAACCAGGTATACCAGACACATGTGTTGAATTGATCCGGCGGTTAAAGCCAAATCTCCGAGAGTTTTATGTTGATGGTAGGGATGCATACATGTAAGCATCGGAAATGGCTGAGCAGTATGCTAGAGTCCTTACAGATGTTTCATCAACGTCACGGCTTGGCCGCGAGGGAGGCAGATCAGGAGTAGTACTAGTTTATTTAGAAAAGGAATCACTACCGGTAGTGTGTATTTCATGGTTCCAGCTCAAGGTTCCATTGTGTCGTGTGTTGGGCATCCATTTCTACTAAAAGAATAGAGTGCTCAACCAGGCCTGCATGAGTGTAACGTCCAGAGGATATCTAGACACCCTGCCTACCTCGAGCCTTGACTCCAGGACTTATTTCGTTTAAAGAGCAACTTCAGACATAAAATGGGGAAAAAAGTGTTCATCTCGAAAAAAATTGTGCCATTATCCTACAATAAGACAGTTTGTGAGCATGTCCAGAAGAGTGTTTTTGTGCCTGTTGGTGTAAATCGTAGGGAGTCTCTTTTTAATATATTTCTATTTGTTACTCCTATCTACGTGATGCGTTACTTGGTGATGCCTGCTACAAATACTGTAATATTATGTTCCATCTTCCTTTCATTATTCAGTGCAACTGAGACATGTTGCGCATAGCAAGGGCTTTTTCATGATTATATTGTTTCTGGTCAGCATACTTATTTAGTGAGAATGATTCGATAAATGTAGCTCTTGTTGGGAAATATTGGTAGGAACGTAATCTTCTAATTCCTGTTTTTTTTATTCTACATTTTCAGTGAAGGTCAACCGTTGTATAGTTGAAGAAATATGGCATTTGAGAGCCCATGCTCTGCTTTGAAATTTGCCATCAGTGCTGATTCAACAGGTCTTTGTTGCTGTGCTTTCTGCTTGATGTTTCAGTGAAGTCGGTTTTGCATTTTCCTCTTAGTGTTTGGTTTGTTGTTTGTTCCTTCTGCTGTTGCTAGCTCGAAGGGTTGTTGGCATTTGAGGTTTTATCCTGTAGGGAATATTAGGAAAATCTGAGCCGTTTTCCAAGTCGTTTCTTATATATGTTGTGAACCGTAATTTTTGTGTCGTTACCCTGTATGAAATGTGGTCAACTTTGTCCTGTCATTTCTGAACTGTTGTGTCATATTTGGATCTGGACGAAGCAGATGTAGTTGCTTGAAAGGTTGTTCATTGGGTTTGTCCTAGAACTCCGAACTCCAAGTACATGTTAGGCATTTGTTCTAGTCAGAATTGCGAAAGCCACCCACGGTACGCGTTCTGTAATTCTTGTTCATGTCATCAAACCACTTTGCTGTAAGAATTTGACAGCAGTCCTAATTTGGAAAATAATACATGTAGATTGGAGTACATGTACATGTAGATTGTTTTGCTATTCCGGAGATCTGTCAATGCCAAGTTGTGTCTTCGGCACCTCTGTCCAGAAGATGCCTGGACGCCCCGTCTGCATTGAGATTTGACTCCGAGACGTATTCCAGTCAAAAAAGCAAGTTCAGACAAAACTAGGATGCTGAGACGAAATGGTGTCATCATAAGACAGAGTCCCTGAGCACGTCCAGGAGACGTGTGGGTGTGCCTGGTGGTATGTAGGAGTGTCTCAGTTTTCCAGTGTATAGTGTAAATGTATTTCACATTTGATGCTCGATGTGTAGCAAAGGATCCCCCCTCTATCTTGTCTTCAGAATTCCCTTCAGATTTCCGGGGAGGGGGTTGCAGTTGGCACAATAGGATATATAGCTTGTGCATTGGGAGTCCCCCCTTGCCACACATCACGCTATTTCTGTTAGCCCCATCTAAATGATGTGTCCTTTTGT